TGTGGGGGTGTTGGGCTGTCAACGATTATTATAGGAAATTTTTAGCGTAGTGAAAAGCATAATGATTTGAATCCTCTTTTTGGGTTTTAATGAAACTTTTAGGATAGGGATTTTTCTTAAATTAATTAAATTATTTTTAAAATGTTTCTTTTTTTTTTAGAAAAGCTTAATAAAAAAACATTTTTTACACTTGTTATTCCCACTTATTTTTGAGCAAATTATTTTTTGTACCGCTTAATGTTTATATTAGTTTTTGAGAAAATTATTTTTTGTACCGCTTAATGTTTATATAAGTTTTTGAGTAAATTATTTTTTGTACCGCTTAATGTTTATATTAGCTTTTGAAAAATTATTTTTGTACCGCTTAATGTTTATATTAGTTTTTGAGAAAATTATTTTTTCTACCGCTTAATGTTTATATAAGTTTTTGAGTAAATTATTTTTTGTACCGCTTAATGTTTATATTAGCTTTTGAGAAAATTATTTTTTGTACCGCTTAATGTTTATATTAGTTTTCGAGAAAATTATTTTTTGTACTGTTTAATGTTTATATTAGTTTTTGAGAAAATTATTTTTTGTACCGCTTAATGTTTATATAAGATTTTGAGTAAATTATTTTTTGTACCGCTTAATGTTTATATTAGCTTTTGAGAAAATTATTTTTTCTACCGCTTAATGTTTATATTAGTTTTTGAGAAAATTATTTTTTGTACCACTTAATGCTTATATTAGCTTTTGAGAAAATTATTTTTTCTACCGCTTAATGTTTATATTAGTTTTTGAGAAAATTATTTTTTGTACCACTTAATGCTTATATTAGCTTTTGAGAAAATTATTTTTGTACCGCTTAATGTTTATATTAGCTTTTGAGAAAATTATTTTTTGTACCGCTTAACGTTTATATAAGTTTTTGAGTAAATTATTTTTGGTACCGCTTAATGTTTATATTAGTTATACGTCGAATTCCTTGAAGAAATTAAATCATCAATTTCTTTTGTAAAACAAGACCTTCAGTTACCGAAAATTGGCTCTGAGTCGTAAAATAAAAAAAAAAATGAAATAAATCTAAGATATCATTATATTATTATATTTACTAATCATAGATGGAAATGCTTTCTACAGTTCATCGACTCCCCAATATTTAAAAAAAAAATTGTATATTTTTGTGTATAAACATGCCGCTTTCTGTAAATACAGACGTCTATAAACGATATTATTAGAAAATAAGAGCGATAATTATAGTAAATTTAAAGCCAAAGTACCTAAAATTCTATAAAACATTAGATTACGGAGAATATTTTTCTAAATGTTTTAATATTACTGGGTAGCTAAAATCATATAAAAAGGCGCTCACATTATATTCCTCGAGTAAATTTTACAGATATGTTCCCCGTAGAAAAAATAAACTTCCATCTGTCAGTCAGTTAAGCTGTGAAGCTGTCTAGACCTTAAACAAAGAGCTACCGGTGTGTTAAAAATGCATCTCTGCGATATTTTAAAATTACAGTAAATAATATTTGTTTCAAATCAAATCAATTAAACCTTAAATCAAGCAATATTCTCCAAATAAAATTTATTTTTGAAAGTTTTTTTAATAAAGAAAATTACATTGTGATGACAGATGGCTAAAAATGGCTCAGAAATCTGCGATTTTAGTGATTTCAAAACGAAAATTGAAATTTAAATTACAGCAAGGTATTTTGCTTATTGGAAATATTAGATTTAATCTATTAGTTGAAATTAAAATTTAAATAAAAGATTCAAGAAAGATTTTTCATTTTTAAAAATTCACCTTAAACTTTAGGTATTGCGTTTCTGTGGATATATATATATATATATATATATATATATATATATATATATATATATATATATATATATATTTCCAATATCGAATCTTATCCATAACACCACCCGCACATCCAAGCTTAAAGGACTTGGTATTCCCAAGCGGTCATTCATGAATTATACTCGACGTAGCTTAACTTTGCAACATCTGATCATGCTCTCTATATATACACAGAAGAAAATGAGTTTGTACGAGAGTACTCATACACACACTTGGACACACACACACACTTGGACACACACACACAAACACACGTATATATGTATATGTGTCTATGTGTGTGTGCATGTGCCTGTGCCTGTGTGCGTTTCTGAAAAGAGAAATAATGAATAATCTATCTTTCTCTCTCCTTAATATTTTCCCACTCTTTCTCCATCGCTCTCTATCCTTCTCTCTTTATTCTCCCACTCGTTCTTATTCCTCCCTCTCTCAATCTTTATCTTCTTAAAATGATCTCACTCTTTCGCCTTCATACTCTCTGTTCTTTTCTCCTTAGTATTATCTCAGTCATTCTCTACCCGCTGAGTCACTCTTTGTTCTTCTCTACTTAATATTTTCCCACTCTTTTCCCCACCTATTTCTGTCTTTCTTTTCTTACTATTTTTCTTTTCCGCACCAATTTTCATTCGATCGATCTTTCTTTCTTTCTTTCTTTCTTTCTTTCTTTCTTTCTTTCTTATTCCCTCGTCATTTCTATCTTTTTTGTTTGTTTGTTTGTTTGTTTCTTTCTTTCTTTCTTTCTTTCTTATTCCCTCGTCATTTCTATCTTTTTTGTTTGTTTGTTTGTTTGTTTGTTTGTTTCTTTCTTTCTTTCTTTCTTATTCCCTCGTCATTTCTATCTTTTTTGTTTGTTTGCTTGTTTCTTTCTTTCTCGCTGTAAATCTCCGTTTCTTTCTTCTCACTCTCGTTTTCTGTCACACATTTTCTGTTTTATTACTCCCTTTCACAATGTTTGCAATATATAATATATATATATATATATATATATATATATATATATATATATATATATATATATAACACTTGTGTCTTATTCTCCATCCTCTTCCTTCTTTAAGTATATTTACCTATCCGTTTAGGCATACATCATCAGTAATTTTATACATATATGCCTACCTAAAAAAAAAAAAAATATATATATATATATATATATATAATTTCGCGCCCAAAAAACAGGAATTGTTAAAAGCAGCCGATAATTTTTTTACGGCCTTTCAGAATAAAGGGCTTTTTTGATGAAGCAAGTTGAGGACGTCAAAGGAAGTAAACCAAAATGGGAAGAGAAGAGTAATGGAAAATTACGAGACAAAGGAATATCCGGATAAATAATGACAACGATCAAATTCGGATGTTACCGTAAAATACAAGGGGAGAGACGGTCACAAACAAACTAGAAATTAGACTGGTGTAAAGTTCTTTAAAACAACAAGCAGAGAAAGTATATGAAATTAGCATGAAGAACGTTAAAGATAGCGTGGAAAAATATTTGCAAATAGAAGAAATCATTCGGAGTTTAAAAAAATACACAGGACACATAGGTATTTATTAAGATAAAACAGGAAGGAATATATATATATATATATATATATATATATATATATATATATATATATATATATATATATATATATATATATATATGTGTGTGTGTGTGTGTGTGTGTGTGTGTGTGTAAACATTCAATCTTTTTTTACTCCTAGTGGCGGTCTCTTTTGTATGGTTCAAAGGGAGACAACTTGTTAAGATTTTTCTCGGACTTTTTTTTATCATACAGCTCTTTTTAAATAATTGATATCTTTTTCTTTTTTTTTTTTATTATCGTTAATCCAATGTTGTTGGTTTTCTTTTATTGTTTTTGTCTTCTGTTTTCTTTTTTGAAATTTGTAATGTTTTCTTTTTTAACCTTCTCCCTAATCTTTTATCTAAGTGGACACACGGCTCTTTCATCTTCCCTTTATTGATGTCGAGGACTGACATTCCTTCATTGTTAATTTTTGCGTACTAAAAACATCAATTGAAAGTTCAAATTAGTGCTGTTGATGGCGGTTCAACAAACAAAATCCCCGATCTCTGTTCGAATACTAGTGTGGGACGTTGGTTTTTATTTTTGTACTAATAACCCCGTCATGTGTTATATACAGTGTAACCCAGATATAAGAGAGTTGTCGGGACCGGAGAAGAAGTCTCTTATACCCGGGTTTCTCTTATATCAGGGTTTGGCCTATATGTATACATTAGCACAATCTCTAATTTGGGACCAGAGAAAATCTCTCTTATATCCAGGTTTCTCTTATATCCGGGTCTCTTATATCCGGGTTACACTGTAGTTATTTGCTAGCGCTCCCATCACGCAACCAGATGTGACACTTGATTTTTAAAGTGGGTTTATCGGTTGTACCGTGGAAAAATTCCCAAACCCTACTCGACATTTCCACACGTCATGAATTATAACCGTCAACTTTCTTCTACATTTTCCTATAACCGGGAAGGGTTTTAAACAGAGGACAAAAAAAAAAAAAAAAATAAATAAATAAATAAAAAATATGTGATATAGAAATCCGAATGTACAGTAGAACAGCTAAAAAGATCTTCAAAAAGCTAAAATTAAGTAAAATTGATTTATTCGTTTTCCACGGTTTATCAACCCTTTACTGGTTATTTAAAGCCAGAAAATATTTTTAGATTGTAAGATAATTTTTTTTTAGTTTCATACCTAATCAGTAAACAAGAAATTACAATATGGATATAAAGTGGGGGATCAATTTGATATTACAATGAATATATAAACTGATCCCCCACTTTGTGGCCACGGTAGTTCCTATCCATTGAAATTCCAGAGAATGTAAATAAATCTAAAAGACATACCAATGTAGCTAAGCAGTATTTTATTGAGTGATTTATTCGTTTTCTACGGTTTATCAACCCTTTACTGGTTATTTAAAGCCAGAAAATATTTTTAGAGTGTAAGATTTTTTTTTATTGAGGTAATAATTGTTTCGGGATATAAGTCTTAAGAATTAACCCATAGCTGGGGGGGAAGATGTGGATTCATACCTTTCCCAAGGATATTTGTGCACAAGTGGATAAAATGAACCCAACCAGAATTGGAACACGGCATTCCGATTAAAAATGACAAGCCATTATTCATTCTACCACCCGCACTTCCACGCAGTTACCCATCTAGTTACTGACCAGGCCCAACGTCGCTTAACCTCGGTGATAGTACGAGAACAGGTGTTTTAACGTGACGTAGCCGTAAGCCATACCATCCGCAGATCCAAGCTTACAACATCTGGTATATTCAAGCGGTCACCCATCTAGGTACTGACCAGGTTCGACGTTGCTTAATTTCGGTGAATTTTACGGGAACCGATTTTTCAATGTGATGTGGTCATAGGCCTAAATTAAGTAGAAAGAGACAGGAAAATTTTGTAAATAACAAAGGAAAGAGTAGTCAACTGCAATGTAATATCGGTCCTACTTTCGAGTAGGGAATGCTGGACACCTTCCTCACAGATGAAAAGAAGATTTGATGCAACAGAGAAGTGGTTCTACAGGAGGATGCTGAGAATGACATGGAAGGAGGGTGTAAGCAACAAAGAAGTATTGAGGAAAATGGAAACAAAAAGAATCAGAATCAGAAAGAGACAGACGACATTTCTTGGGGATATAATGAGAAAGGAGGGTTTGGTGAATTTGACACTCACAGGATACATCGAAGACAAAACCGACAGAAGGAACAGCGAATAACGTATGAGACAAATATGACATTCGATACCTCCAACTCATTTTATACAACCAGCATCCTATCAAGTCATTGTTCCTTAAATGGTGCATTTCTTTTAATCATTTCACCCCAAGCAAGACAATGAAACAACAGAAGAGTAATCAGGAAGACAGTAGATAGCGATTGCCATTGCATTTAAATTTTTGAAGATCAAAGTTGAATAGGAAGCAAGAAGCCGGAAGGGAGTTCCACAAGCGAGAAATACCGAGAGAATAAACTGTTAGCATAAAACTTACGGTAATATCTAGCCACTAAGCCACAAGGAGTTACTGAGTGTGAAAGAAAAAAAAAAGAGAGGTTATTAAGAAGAGAGAACAATAGAAGAATAATTAAGAAGCCAGTAGATAGCGATTGACATTGCATTTACATTTTTGAAGATCAAAGTTGCCTGGAAGTGCGTGAGAATAAACTGTTAGCATAGAATTTACGGTTACATCTAGCCAATTTAACTTTAAATTGATGAGACCTCACTGCCAATCTAGTACTGCGCTTAAATTAATAAAATTTAGGTACCATAGTACAGAATTTATCCGAATTTATCCATGAAAGTATTTATAGAGAAGGCACAGGTAAGCAACTTTACGGTGGTGGTAAAGTGATTGAAAACGAGACGCCAGGTTAGGACTAACAATATAGCAGATTCTTCTTTGGATTTTATTAAGAATCTCTAAATATATAAAAGGAGCATCGGGCCATATCTGGCAGCAATATTCAAAGCATGGACGAATGGTAGACTGAGAAATGCGTTAAAATTCCAACGTGAAATGTTTGGAGAAAATGGAAAATTGTCACCTCGTTAATAATTCGCTACACAATATATATATATATATATACAAGGCTAGAATATGTAAAGCTTGGGATGACCCATGCCCTTTGTGCCTCCATGAAAAATTGCACATCATTAAACTTCTAAATAATAATAATCTATTAAATAATAGACACGAGTTAACGGTTTTTTGTAGGCATCATCAGATTTTTGGTTTGAATTATTAGAAAAAAAAATGTATATAACTTGTTTAACAAATAGCCCAATCATCAGATTCATAGTAGGAATAATTAACTACAAACATGCATACTACATAACACACTTCATAATCCATAGCCTAAATTAGTAGTTTAAATACCTTACATATAAGATAACACTTTATGAAGTCGTCAAAAAACAAACGTTACAAAAAGTTTTTTTTTTTTATATGCACAATTCCTTTCATAATAAAATAAAATAAAATAAATAAATAAATCTCCATAGACAAGCAAACTAGACGATGGCCAATACATCTTCCGTTTCATTTTTTGACACCCACACCTTTCCCCGACTTGACACCTTGAAAGTATCTCTATACCGCTACTTATTATAAACACCCTACACTCGCCTACCCAATTTAGACAATTCACCATAGCTGTTACCATGGGGATTTTGATTTCAATTTGAAAACAAGTAAATTTCAGATATACGTTATTCAACAAAAATTTCGCTTGAAGATGGAACGGAGCCCATTTTACTTTCAACTCAATTTAATTTAAAGGATTATATTGAAGTTTTCGGCTCTTGTTTTGAAACATGAGACCTCTTATGTAGCGATTTGGAATCATATTTTTAAATAAATAATTATATATATATATATATATATATATATATATATATATATGTCAAAGATGGCGTGACAGTCAATGGGATACTGAGAGAAAAGGCATTTAATGCAAGCAGTCTTTGCAATAAAGTGCTGGATATCAAAGATAGACCATTAATATTATTAATGTTTTAAAAGCTTGTCGCTTAGCTGATCGATGTTATCTTCAGAATCCAGACTCCAGAGTTCAAATTCATATTGCTGACACCCACTGAAGAGTGGATAGACAGGTCCGTCTACGAAACTCTGGAGTCGGGATGCTGAAGGTAACATTAATCAGCTAAGTGATAAATTTTAAAATTTTACTCACATTCATTATCATCATATATATATATATTTATATATATATATATATATATATATACACAACTTCATTTTTCATTTTTTTTTTATTTCGCGTCTCGTTGAGAAAGGAGAGAGGCGTGTCCTTAAATTGAAATTTTTAAAATCTTTTGTCGTCATGTTTCCATTTGGTCAAAAAGCCTACTAATATACAATAAATATTAGTTTTATTATCAATATTATTAATTTTGTTTTTTTATCTCCCGATTTTTTTTCACCGGCCTATTACATCTACATATTAAAAGAAGCATACGTGGACAATCTTTCTTTACTATGATATATATATATATATATATATATATATATATATATATATATATATATATCATATCTGCCCTGTCGAATGATCCTGGGTTACATCAAAATTACCATCTTTAGATTTCTTAATCCATACTTCACCACCATAAAACAAAACCGACTTACGGCAATGTAAGATTACTTTAATATGTTCAGACTTTAAGCATATAAAGTCCTTGGCAAACATCAAAGCCTCCAATAAACTCTTTTCAGTAATAGATGGATAGAAATCCTTAATATCATATTTGATAAACACTTTATTACTCTTGTTGGAAATGTTTTTAAACCACGGAATGTAATCTGACGTGCTCTTTCACCGATTGGCTGGCGTAGCCACCATTAGTAGTTTGCAGGTATCCATTACAATTTTGTGGCTTATAATACCAAACTCTGTCTTTGTTGGGTTTATCAAGCGGAATGATGGGCTATTGAGGAAGTTTTCTTTGTGGTCCTTTACTGTCAAGAAGGCTTGCTTTTCGATCAATATCCTGACTTTGCCGCCAATGCTAAACGTCTTGGAGTTTTCTTTGGCTTCTATATTAATATCATCCACGTAAAAAGCAGGAGCCTTTTTATAGAATTTACTCACTTCCTCTGTAACTCTCTTTCTGTACTTCTTTGGGTTCATTGCATATAATTTCTTCCTTTTCTCGTCCATAACGAAAATTTTCTTTAACTTTTTCAGCTCTCCAATATCCGTTGATAATTTGTTCTGAAATAAATTCTTTATTTTTTCTAAACATTATCTTATTTAAAACGCCTATAAGGTCTTTTTCAAATTCCGACAATTCTTTCACGACAGGGGGTTATTTATCCGTTTTGATCAAAGGTACGCCAGTGTCACTACTATTTTTTACAATATTATTTAAAGTAAAAAGAGCCTTCCATCTCATTCTACACAAAAATGACTATTTTGTTTAGTATAATAATCATATACTCATGCTTGTCAAGAATCTGAATATTCTTGAGTTCATTAAGATCCATGTTTATGAATTTTATGTCTAAGGAATGTCCAAAGAGACAAAAGTTATTTATTTAACCGCAATAGAGTCAAATTGATCTACAGTTGCACTAGCAACATAGGCAATATTATCAAAAGTTTGATTAAAACAAATTCAAAGAGGTGAAAACAAGTCCTTTGTAATTGTAGGATAAAAAATAATTGTCCATTAAATGGTGTATATTGTATTGAACATGTTGTGTATTGCGCTGAGGTAGAAAGTGACAATGGCAGTGCAAAAAAAAAAAAAAAAAAAAAATACATTGGTTGCACTGAGGGCCAATTTAAAAAGAGATGGTATAACCATACTTCATCGTTTAGAATACCAGAACGCGAGTTCAATACGAAGCTGGTAAACCACTACTGGAGCTTAAGGAAAAAAATAACAGAAGCCCGGCCATTAAATTGTGTATTTTACGGAATGTAAAGGCTAGCAAAGTGAATAGCAACTCGTGTGTGCTGTGTCACGAGGTGAAACTAGCTATTGCAACATACAAGGTTGGCACTGAGTTGTTGAATGAAAGGTCTGAGATCATAGCCAATTATAGACACGTCAGGAAGTTAATTTTGGGGCTATACGAACCTGGATAAAGTTGGAATTTTTTTCTCCCTCCCTTTCACTTTAATTTTACTTTATTTCATTTATTATTTTCTTTTATTCCCACTACAACCCCCGCGTTACTTCCGGTATTGAATGAAGGCATTTAAATTCTTGCATTGCCTCAGATTGATTTGCTGAACAAACCACCTGACGAGATCTTGGCGGTCGAAACCGCGGTAGTGTTCCGGTCAGCGTTCTTATATTTCTAATATATATATATATATATATATAGATATCGGCGGAAACACTGCAAAAAAAGAAGCTACGAAACCAGATTGGTCCTAGACAAGAATTATTCCCATCCTCTATGAAGGAATGCATGTGCAGGGGAAATCTAAACAAGGACATTTTCACCTGTGTATGTCTCAATATTAGTTAAAATAAATAAAATCATGTTGCATTTTGAACATTATACATCATTTTGCAAAACTCCTAAGCTCTAAGTACTCTCGTCACAAGTGTTAGATTATCTTTTATTATTTATTATTTTATTTTTATTTATTGTTTAGATTTTCAGGTAAGATTTCCTCCTCCCCCCCTGCACATGCATTCCTTCATAGAGGATGGGAATAATTCTTGCCTAGGACC